TTCTAAATTTGAAGTCTATTTTATGATTAAACCATGATATTTTCTTATTTAATGGTCAAATCTTTCAAACTTAATTCAATAACTTAGTCAACTTCATATGCTTACTCTAGAGGTTTCAAAAGTGTTTATAAGTCCAAAAATTCATTTCTTAGTTGCTTTCTATTTTTAGATTATTTTCCTTTAATTTTATTATCTAAAATCTTCAAAAAATACTTTCAAAATATTATTTAAATTCAACAACTCTAGAATAATACAATCTTGTGTATTGACCTTCTAGAAAAATTTTCATGATTTTTGGAATTTTTTAAGACCAAAACAATAAAAAAAAGTTTTAGCTATCTCAAAATCGTAAATCCTCTTAAAAATTTGTGAAAATTTATGCTCTTCCAAAGCCTAATCACGAATTTTTTCCTAAGGTTAATGTATTTATACTATATGAAGGTCAAACTCATATAATGCATCAAAGAGGATATTTACAAAAACTACATATATTTCAAGACAAAAAATGACTAATTTTTGCAGAAAATTTTAAAAGAATGTTTAAACAACTGCAACACATGAAATCACACATAATCACCATAATATCATGGTAATAATGTTGTCAATGTGACTCAAAGTAGCTGATCAATAATTTAGTCTAAGGTGTGTAAAATATTGTCTTTAAGAATTATTTCGATGTAATAAAAAATCTTCTAGGACATAACAGACTCTTTTTATCTAAAAGCAAAGCTCTCAAGAACTAACAAGCTTCTCTCAACTCATAACTCAAAGAAATAAATAATAAGAAAAGTTTTTGCATCTTTCGTGCGGTTTTCCTAAAATATTCAAAATACTTTAACCATTATAGTTGTTCATGTAAACTTTACATATAACTGAAAATATAAGTAATAATAACAATTAAATTAGAATAATAAAATAAAATTAATAATTAGTAAATTCTTTTGAAATATAATTATATTATTTTCTAACAAATAACACATAGCAAGTAAAGTCATCAACAAAATTCTCTTAAATTACCCATTCACAATTTATTAAGATTTTTTTGCAAAATTTTATGTTTATGTTGTATTTGATTATTTCCTTAGATTTCTTTGATTATTTCCTTAGATTTTCTTGTTTCAATCAATTTTATTTTCATATGTTAACTAGACCCACAAAATTCTCATTCATTATAAGGTGTTAGGATTCCGCTTGACTCAAAAATGAATTAACAAAAATTATTCCTTAATTTATGAATTATACTCCACTTCCTTACTTGATTTTGTCTTGTCTTTTGGTAGGGTTACAAATGTGGGTTGGTCTCCTCTCCCTCCTCTCTTTCTTGGTTTGATGTGAACCTCTTTCTTGCCTCTCTAAATTAGCTTTGAATTTTCCCAAAAGGGTCCTTAAATATTAGAGTCTTTTTGCATAATTTTGGTGGTGGGATTGTTGGTGTTTTTGGAATTTTTCCTATTTTGTTAGCATAGAGGATGATATGGCTGAGTGGTGAGATTTATTTTTGATATATATTAGATGTGGTTGAGTGTTTAAAAGAGCTTGGTTTGGTTGGATTTAGAAATTTTGGCTAAGTATTCAAAATTTACTTTATTTTTCAATGTGAAAATGGCCTTATCTTTAGTGAGAGTTTTTCAAAAAATTTCTTGGTTTTTATGGAGTAGGAGTCTTGCAAATGGTTAGAGGGATTAAAGGTAAGAACTTTACTTTTAAATTCTCCCTCTAATTCAGCTTTTATCCATGTAGAAAGTGGTCCACAAAAATCATGCTCAATGTGAAAATTTTGACCCTTATGATGTCATCTAGTTTGCCTAATTGTTCTTGCTTAGTTTGCTTTTAATTCTTAGTTATTAATTTCATATTTTTCTCATCACATAACACTATTTGTTAGTTAATTTTGGGTTAGGGATTAAAACATTGGCTTATTATCCATGAGTTTTGGTAAACCAAACTTCGTCTCTTATTGGTCTACTTCACTTTAACTGATTCCTTGTTTAATTATTGATAAATTGGGTCTCCTTTCATAACAAAAATTATACCAATTAGATTGAATAAGATAGGATCACAATTTTGAAAGTTTTATCCTTTTTGTATAGCCATTTCACACCACTTTGAGTGCTGAATTTATAAAAATTGGTTTAAATTTTCTATTTAAGGTTTGGACCTAGTTCTTAAACAACTGTAACCTCATTTGACCCAATGATTTACTATAAAATTTTTAAAAAAATTAATAATTATTTTTTTACCCAGATTAGGTCATCATTCTAGGTCTATTGTAGAAGTATTTTGATTTTTTGGCCATTTTTACAATTTTTGTTTAATTTTCTATTTTTATTTTTTTTAACTGATTATAATTTTTGTAATTCCTAATTTAGATGATATGAAATGATTTAAAAAAATTGAGTAATTAATCTCTATTAAAATTAAATTATCTCATAATTTATTTTTCCTTAGTTTGCGTATTTTTCAAGTAAATTTTGTTAAGCATGTTTTAGTTTCTAACTTTATATATATATATATGATTTAATTCTAATTTATTTAAATTAATATAATTAATAATTAATTTAAAATTAGTAAAATTTTAGTTGTTACATTTTTAGATGAGAGATGAGATTTTTAAACTTTTCAAAATTTTCCTGATCTAATGTTTTCAAGTTTTCTTAATTTAAAAGATTTTGTATTAATTCTTTTTTTTCTTTAACTTTTTAAACTTTTTTATTCACATTCTTTTTAAACTTTCAAACCAAATTTTAATATATTTAGATTTACGCGTTAATATATTTCAATATTATAAAAATATAGTTTAAACATTAAAACATATTTTAAATTGATTATAAAAATTTCCGAACAGACAATTTATTTGTTATCAATGAGTGGAGTGGTGTTTTCACATTGGATGGTTGGTTCTTTGGGACAACTACGGTGACTTGGTCACAGTACTACCGACAACATGGATAATACACATGTGAAGATAAAGGAAAGAAAACTAAAATAAGGCTTAATGATCAAAATAAAACATTTTTAAAAAATAATTATCAAATTAAAACAAAAATAAAACTTATTCCCTGGAGTCTTTTCTGGCCACGTCAGCTCTGAATTCGTATATAAAGTAGGCGAAATTAAATTTTTACTATTTATTCATTGAAATCGCCTAGAAAAGGGACGAAATGCTGCAAATCTGGACACGTGTAGCATGAATTCGTATAAGAATAAGACGAAAACGGGAAAAATTTTGAATTAAAGATTCCCGCCTCCAGACACGTGGGCCAATCAACATATTTCGTCTCTGATCAGGACGAATAGCGGATTTCGTCTTAGTCAGCGACGAAACATATTGATTGGGCCACGTGTCGGTGGAGGCCTTCAGTTCACGACTCCGTGGGTAGCAAATTTCTGGTTGTTTTATCTTGATTTCTGAGTGAGAATCTTCATCTGTTGCAGAATCGTGTTCACATTGCCTTCATTTGCAGTGAGTGAAGATATTTTTGAATTAAAATTTGGAGGAGGTTGGGAGAACTTAAATCTGCTACACAGTCATTGTTAAAGGGGAAGAGGAGGTCGTCAGAGAGAGACCACATTGCAGGAAACTTGCCGCTATTCCAGGGAACTCTTACTCGCTGGAAACCGCCATCTCCGGCGCCTGAAATCTGCAACTGAGGTATGGAAAAAATTTTGTATATTTTTTTTAAATAGAAAAACGTAAAATTTTGATTAAAAATTTTAGGAAAAAAGAAAAATAAATTGATTAATGAGATAAATTTTAATTTTAAAATTGATATTAATAATAGAAATATGAGAACTAAATTTATTACATTTTTACTTTGTAGAAAAAATCTGATAGTAATATTTAGATTAAAAATATAATAAAAATAATTTTGGTAATTTTATAGAAATTTAAAAATAAACAAAATTTGTAAAATTAAATTTTTATAGTGATGTTTATAAAATCTGATAGTAATATTTAGATTAAAAATATAATAAAAATAATTTTGGTAATTTTATAGAAATTTAAAAATAAACAAAATTTGTAAAATTAAATTTTTATAGTGATGTTTATATTAAAAATTAAGCTGCATTTAGAATTATCCTACTAAATTGAGGTGTAAATTAAAAGACAACTTAAAAATAATTTAAAAAATTAAAAACAATATTAAATAGTTAAATAAAATTTAGAATAGAAAATTAGAAAATAATTATATCAAATTAGTTGATTAATTATATAAGAAATGATAATTAGAAAATAGTGTATAAAACTTATAACATAAATTCTTTATTTAAATTAATTATGATTAAAATATGTAAATAGATATATTTATTTATAATTAAAGAACAAATTTAGATAATTAAAAAAATTTATATTAAAAATTGAAAGTATTAAAATTAACAACACTGATAAGAAAATTAGTTATCTAATATAAAGAAACAGAGATATATAAATTAGTTGAGATAGATTATTTATAATTATATAATTTAATTTAGAAAGAAAAAAATTTGAATGTAGAATATAAATTTTTAGAATGATTGTAATTAGTTTAAGTTAATTACTGATAATTATATAATTTAATAAATGATGACCAAAAAATAATTTAAAACAAACAACTTATTAATTAATCTTGTTATTGTATGATATAAGATCTATCATGGGAAGTACTACAAAATTTTGAATGTTTATAGTTTTTAATTAATATATTAATTTCTTTTGATGTACTAAGTTTAAAAAGACATGTTAAATCTAGGAAAAAAATTCATAAAATATTTAAATGTAGTAATGAACAGTTTTAATTTGATTTACAATGATTAAAATGAATAAAATGTTATGAATAATTGTTTTTGATTTTATTTGTATTACAATGATTAAAATGTTATAAATAGTTTTTGTATTTAAATTATGTGATGAAGAAAGAACAGTTTGGGGTATTATACTTGATGCATGATATGAAATTATTTTGTATAATTTATATTAAAGTTTAAAATTTTGACCATGTTATATTTTATATTTTATGTAGATGGCTTCATCTTCAAGACAGAATAGAGTCATTCATCCTGGACCAGATGATCCTTAATTATTGCACTTACAGAATATTCATGTGTCTGAACATATTTGGGATGGTCGGGATCATTCTATTTTGAAGGTTAGGAAGAGTCAATTTATTCCAGCTGGTTTGGATGATGTTCCAGAGGAGATTCTTCCACATTTAGAGCTTGCAGGATTTACTGGGATTGCTCACGTATGTCAGTTCCCATTAGACCTCCCGTTGATCACTCCATTAGTAGAGAGATGGAGGCCAGAGACACACACTTTTCACTTGCCTTCAGGCGAGTGTACGATCAATTTGTAGGATGTATCTGTGTTGTTAGGTTTACGAATTGATGGAAGGCACGTGATGGCACCTATTGGAGTTAATTATGCTGATATTGTTGAGGAGAGCCTAGGTATTAGACCATCACGTGCAGATTTTGTTGGTAGCTTCTTGAAGACGAGTTGGCTAGACCAACATTTTACCCATGTGGCGATGCATGCACAGAATCCTTTACAGATCACCAGATTTGCTAGGGCTTATATGTTGCGGTTAATTGGGGGTTTTATGTTGAGTGATCACTCCAGCAGTAGAGTCTCAGTGAGGTACTTACCTTTACTTCAGGATTTTGCTGTCACTTGTGAATATAGTTGGGGGTCTGCAGTATTGGGATATTTTTATAGAGAGCTGTGTATGGCCACCAACATGGATCGACATGGTTTAGGTGGATTAGCTGCATTACTTGTGATGTGGGCATGGGATAGGTTTCCATTTCTAGGTCTTGGAAACCCGCTTCACACACGACTCCATCTTCCATATGCTACTAGGTAATATTAAATATTTATTTCGTTAATATGTTTAACATACCTTATGTGTTAACAAATATCTGTATCTTTGTGCAGGTGGTTGGCCAATCAAAGCAATAGGAAAGGGAGGAAAGACATATCTTATTATAGATATAAATTTGACATGCTTAGTGGTGAAGAGGTAAACTTGGATTAACATTTTAGACATATGTTATAGTCATATTTTAATTTAGTTATCATTATGAAAACAAACCTGAATATGATGTATATTGTGTGCAGATAATTTGGCAACTATATTCTATTGATTTGATTAATTCATTACCAGCTATATGTCGTGAGGGGATGGATTTGTGGAGGGTTGTTGTGCCTCTGATATGTTTTCAGGTGTGTGAGTGGCACCAACCAGATCGAGTAATGCGACAATTTGGTATGGTTCAACATATACCTCGTGCTCCTTATCAGCCAGATGCACTACATGAGTTGACTCTGCGTAGGAAGGCAACAAAGAATTGACAAGAGAAGCTGAGGGATGTTTTAGACATTTGGGAGAGAAGGAGAGAGTGGGTCATGACCAATGACCCCCACATTGGGCAGCTAAGTTTCAACTCTGACTATATGCGGTGGTATAGAGCTCACACTAGACGTTGGATGACAAGAGACGCGGCTGTCTCATCATTACTTGTAAGTGTAAACTACATATTTTACATTTACTTATGTGTATTTGTAATGACATTGTTAACATACATATATGATATATGGTGGTATAGGGTGATGGACTTGAGAGAGCCCACTACTTGATGACAGATGGCCATGATTCATTCACCTTTGATGAGATGCGAGACTTGTGTCAATCTATGCTAGTTTTGAAGAATGATTTGAACCGCATTATGGAACCTATTTCTTCATCTGATCCTCCAATGCAGAGTGGCAATACTGAAGATCCAGTTATAGATGTCGGTCAATCGAGGAACCGTAAGGAAGGCAGGGGATTACAGCGTAGACGCACAGAGGTACATGCGACAGAATGGTCTCTTCCACCGATACCTGAGCGTCCTAATGGAGTATTCTATGTTCCCTCACAGTTTCCTTTCCACACACAGCCCTATAATGCACCTACATATTTTCACTCATCTCAGGCCACCCAGCATCCGCCACAGACTCCTCAATCACCATTCTTGACCACAGAGTGTTATATCCCATGTTCATCACCATTCTTCACGCCACCTCCATATGATGTTCCTATTTTGACACCACCAGCATTAGCAGCAGATATTGTTATTGGGACATCATATGATACCTCATATAGTCAGGGAATAGATTTGAATGCTGACTTCGAAGCAACGGTAGATGTTCCACCTGCAGAGGTTCGTCGTAACCCACATCGTGGAGCTAGAGATCGACCTAGAGAGTGCATATTGACCCTACATCAGCCCGACCAGCCACACGAGGATAGAGCTTAAGTTTTTGTATAAACTAATTATACATATTTTGTGTACCTTTACTAGATGTTTTATGACATATGGTACTTTTTATTCATTTTAATCATCGATCGATTAAAATTTACTCATGTTATAAATTGTACGATTAACTTTCAGGTATGTGATTCATGTTTCATGTTAAGAGAAATAAGGTGATATAAACTACAAGTACATAAGTGCAGTTGAATATAATTACAACAAGTACATCAGTGCATTTGAATATAAACTACAAACCCACATGCTGATAGTTAACAAATGACGTGTTGTCTCATACATAAACTCATCAATACTACTGATTAGGTGATATAGAAGTACATTGACGTACATTGTGACCAATTTGATGACAATTACTACATCAGGTTCTACTTTGTGACTCAACCCAATCCATTTCATTCTTAATTCGAGATGATTTTGGTCTTCCTTTACCTCTGATTCTTGTCTCATCAGGCACTAACTTCCACTCATTGCGTGTAAGAATATTACCATCATTTCCCAAAGGGAACCATTGTGATGAATATGCATGGACAACATTTTGCACAGAGTAAACATCATCAACATATTGCCAAAAGTCAATACTTACCAATGCACAAGCAGCAATCACATGTAAGCATGGAAATCGATATGCCTGAAATCTTCCACATTCACAGTATCTTCTACACAGAACAACATTCCATTTGTTACCACCCCTTTGCGTGATAGGATTAAAGGCCTCTTCAACCTCAAATGTTGTTCTTACTATATCATATCGTCTCACTTGATGCGAAGATGCTTCCTCTTGATTTTTCTGCATTTTTAGCATTAGTTTTGAACAAAACCTCTTACCATGGTTCAAGTCATTCATTGCGTCCTCTCCACGCTTCACAAAATATTCAACCATTCGTCCATAAGTGCATTTAACTAGAGCAGTTATAGGTAAGTTTCTTGCTCCCTTCAATACCTTGTTAACAGCTTCTGACAAATTTGTGGTCATATGTCCATAACGGCGTCCATCAACGTCATGACTCAAAGCCCACTTTTCCTTCGATATGTTGTCGATCCACCTCTGTATTTCTGATGATTCAGTGTGGAATCTTCTCAACTTCTCTTCAAATACAAGCTTCGAAGGTATATATGCTGCAATGTACAAATACTACATGACTTCATAATTCAAATAAATATAAAGTAAGAGGAAGTCAGATATGAATTAAATCATGTTACCTAATTTTATCACTTGTTTTTTCATATCAACGTTCTTGAATCTATGGTTGAAATTGCTCGCAATATGACGAATGTAATAAACATGGTATGCATTAGGAGGTTGCCATCCAACATGTGAGTTTGAAACAACACTTTTGATACTTTAATGTCTATCAGATATTAAACATATTCCTGTCTTGTTTATTACGTGGACACGAATCATTGCCAAAAACCATTCCCATGCTGGCAGAGTCTCCCCTTCAACAATAGCAAATGCTAGTGGTAGGATACAATTATTCCCATCTTGTGTTGTTGCAATCAACAATGTATGACGATACTTACCATACAAAAATGTTCCATCTATTTGAATAATAGGTTTGCAAAAGTTGAATGCTTTCTTACATTGATGAAAACACCAAAACAATCGCTCAAATACTCTAAATCTGTTGTCCTCCTGATGTCCAACAACAAATGGCTTCGTTTCAATCTTATAAATAGAACCTGGAGCATGAAATTGTATATACTTTAACCATCTTGGTAATGTCGCATATGATTTATCCCAATCACCAAATATTCTTACAATTGCCTTTTGTTTTGCCTTCCAAGCTTTTTTGTATGAAATTTTATATCCAAATTGAGTTGTCATCCTTTCTTGAATTAGACTTATAGGCAATCATGGTTCAAGATTAACCATACCTGCACAAAACAACAATAAAAATTGAACTAAGTATCTTTATAGAAAAAAGATGTGACAAAATAAGATATTATTCAAAACTTACCAATTATGCATGACGAAATCAAATCTGAATCTAGTTTGGTATGATCTTGAGAGATTGTAGGGTTGAGACATGTATGCTTACCGCCACACCTTGTTATTTTCCACTTGATTGAATTTTTAAGCAATGATGCTCTTATTCTCCATAGGCAAGCGTTGTTATGGTTTAAACACCTCACATGCAACTTTGTTGGTTTTGACTCAACAACAAAATAATTCTGATGTATTCTCATTGCATGTTGTTTTAAGGCATTTTTAACTTCATCTTTTGAGTCAAATAACAAACCCACATGTAACGCATCTCCAATAACCCATGAATTATCTTGACTAATTTTTTCAGCTTCAATTTCTTGGTCTGGGTGGTCTCAATTAATAGATTTGTAATGTGGACTTACATTTCAAAAAGGTATTTCACCTACAACTACATTTAAACATACAATATTCATCATTTATAACAAATAAACAATTTAATCAATATATTTTTTAAATGTTACCTCCAACATTTTCTTGTTGTAAATTTAAGTTTGAATCAAAATCACTATCAATGTCTGTATCTGATGAGCTATCTAATGGAATATGTCCTTCATCAATATCATCTGTCTCATCATCACTATTGACTTCATCATCTTCATAACTGCATAAATCTCTATATCCTTCAAAATACAAACACTTTTTCAATATGTATTGTAACTAAAAAAAAAATTAAAAATAAATTACAACAATATAATTTATACCTTCTGTAACATTTATATTGACAATTTCCATAGGGTTAGGCAGTGACATTGATAAGCTTAAGTCCAACATATTCGACCCACCTCTTGAACTCTCACCAAATGCAATATCCACGTATAATTCAATAAAAGTTGTAATACTTTGTTGTTGATACGCACTAATCATACAATCAATGTTTTCATCATCACATATATCCAATGGATTGTATTGTTTAGCGCTTGAATCAACCATAAAACGAGAAATTATTTTAGATATGACATGATCATTACTAAGATTCAACTTGTCATGAATCTTTTTCTTTAAATTCATATAATTTATCCCTCTTCTTATCTTTATCATTTTTTTGTTACCTTCAAATGTCACACCTTCGTTTCTAACAACAATTTTTCTATTCCAATACATAATAATAATAATATCATTCATCCTGCATTTATAAAAAAAATATCAATAATTATTTACAATTATACTTATTTATAAAAAAAAACATATCAATATTTATTTACAATTATACTTATTTATATAAATAATATAAATAAATTATTTGTAACACAAACATATTTTTATTTTTCACATTATTTTATATTATATAAAATGTAATATTTTTAATATATATTTCACATATGTAAAATAAAATATTCACAACAACTCTAACATTATTTTTTAATTAAACAAATTTATATTAAATATCTATAAACTTTTAAATTTTTTATTAATTATCTAAAATGTTATTTTTTAATTTCAATCTACATAAAAATATATTTATTAAATATTCATAAATTTTAACTATTTCTAATTAAATAATTAAAACTTTTTAATAACAAAAATATTAGAAAAAATTGTAAATATTAATAACCTCAAAAACCTTCCCAATGTATAACCTTGCACTTTCAATGTGATTTTCAATTTTCAAACACTTTCACCGTGATTTTCAATTTTCAATGCCCCCCATTTCACACTTTATATAGTAATATTTGGTTGGATAAAAGGGTGCAGCCACAAGGGACGGACCAAAAAATAAAAAGTGAAATGCTTTTCGTCTGAATTGTAGACGAATTATGGACCCTTTTTGTCTCTTTTACAGACGAAATAATAAGATTTAACCACGTGTCTAGATCCTATGATTTTGTTCTAAATTGAGACGAATTACTAGTAACTTGACACCTGTTCATCGTTTCGCCTCTCACATATACGAAATGCATGACATATGTCAATATTTAACTTATTTCGTCTCTCTTTTAGACGAAATGAATAAATTTAAAATAAAAAAAATAATTTCATCTGATTAATATACGAAATCAGAGCTGACGTGGCAAAAAAGTACCCCAAACAAGGAATATGTTTTAATTTGATAATTATTTTTTAAAAATGTATTATTTTAATCTTTAAGCCACTAAAATAAGATGGCATGATGAAAGCCGTGGTTTATGTGAAAAATTAAGATATTAAGATTAAAAATGTAATTAAAATGAAATTTAATTAATTTATAATCTCATCATATTCCTTGTGTACTAGTTTTCAAATTCACATTTTGTGCACGATAAAATTTACGTAACAAAATGATATGTTGTAAAAAGTAGAATAATATTACTTGAATAATATTTTTTCGAAAAATTTGATGTCCCTTAAATTTTGGTGAATTATTTTTTAAATGAGAATAAACGAAAAAATGAAAATGAAGTAAAACGAATAAAGATAAACATGTAGATTAACGAAAAACACATTGAACTTCTTAAAAAATTAATTTTTTTTTTAAAAAGAGTATTCTTGTAAAAATAAAATACCAAACATTTGGTAAACAGTACTTTAACTAAAAAATAGGTTTAAAAGAAGAGGTTATAAGATTTTAAAATACAAGAAATGATAATATAAGTATATTTTAAGAGAGAAAAATATAATTTATTCTTGAAATTATGCTCAACTAAACATGTTATTAGTATTTTAAGTTTTATTTTAATCTCTAGTTAATTATTGTGTTGACGATATTAAATTTCGCCAATTTTTTTAATGGAACATTGAACTAGAATTGACCCATATATATATATATATATATATATATAATATAATATAATATAATATAATATAATATAAAAGTTCACATTAATGATGAGAAGAAGCCTCAAGGAGATTCAATCAATTACTGGCAAAATAAGAAAGTTTTATATTTTTAATAAAGAGGTTTAAAAAATATCTAATTGGATCTTTCATTTTAAACAATAAATTATATTAAAGTTTTATATGTTATCGAAATTCAACGTCTAGAAAAACTTTTAAATTAATGTTTGATAATTGTTAAAAAAGAGAGTGATAACATGAGGTGTTCAAAATTAAAATTTGATAAAATTAAATTTTAAATCTATACTTTGATATTTTATTTTAACAGATGTAATCAAACGAAATTTTTATAAATTAATTAGAATCCAGTCCTTGGAAAGTCTTTTAATCAATTTCAGTAATTATAAAGGTAAAATTTAATTTTTAGTAAACTTTAATATTATGATAAGAGAAACTAACATAATACCAAAATAAAAGTATATAAATAAATCAATCAATAAATTAAAATATAAAATCAAAATCAACCTTAAAATTGAAATAAAATCTGCCAGTCAGTATTTCATTTCCTGTGGATTATAATATAATATTATAAACTTATGAAAAGAAACACAAAAGAGAATAATGCATTTTAATATAAAATAATGGAATAACAAATTTATTTACTTGTTAGCATTTGAAGATTCAAAATTTGATGATGAAATAGTGCAGTTTGATCATAGGATTCCCTGCAACAGCTGAGAATAGAAGAATATGATATTATTAAAAGGACGATTGCATATATTATATATTAATCATAATCCAGCTGTTTCTCCAACGTGTGGGATCCTTACTTTTTGTTACAACTTGTGCATACAAACAAAAACCACCAAAATAAATAATAAAATATATTAATTTAAAACACACTATTATAACATAATTCCAGATATTTGGAGGAATTTATAATATTGATATTTAATCTTTTACTTTAATTTTTTTCAAATTATTCGTTCGTGAACTTATTTTACTTTGATATAATTTTTTTAATCAGTGATATATTCATTTTTTTCTACTTATATAGTATTTAACTCATACAAATTTATTAAAAAAATATGATAATTATATAAATTAAAAAAATATTAATAGAGTGATTAAATATAAATAAATAATGATTTTTAAATAATAAATTAAAAAATAGGACCAAATAAAAAATTAATTTTTAATAGATTAAATTTTATTTAAGCTTAAAACATATTTGTACTATTTTATTTTTGAAAACTAACCATAATTGAATTAATTTGATTTTATACACATTACTTATTGATTAAATAAATATTAATTTCCTTTAGTTAATAATTGCGATATAATTGACAACGGTTTATATATATATATATATATATATATATATATATTAATGATATGAATTATTTGGCACTTGAATCGACTCTTTCGAAAGTAATGGATGATAACTGAATATTTTCTTATATAAACTTTATATTTTTATAAAATACCTGTGCTTTAAGTGTAAGCCTGTAATAGAAGTCACAGTGGGTATTTTAAATTTGAAGGATATGAAATATGTTGCACTTGCATTGACTTTTTCGAAGGTAACGAGGATAACTTAAATATTATACGGGCGAAAGTTAATTCGTATAAATATATATACCGACAGATATTCGGTCAAATAGTGAAATAAATTACCTTTTCCCGCGTAAATCTAAAATTATATTAAGAATAACATATTTTTCATCATTTTATTAAAATAAATTTTATAAAGTACAAATTTTAAAATAATAATTAATATACATATAAATAAGGTTTTTATTTTTATAGTTAAAAATTATTTTTTTATGAGACATATTGATTCCTCTATCATAATAAAATATAAAAATAACTTTCTATGATAATTTCATTTTAATTTATAAAAATTAAAGTATTTTCTTAGTTTATGTAAAATTTTATATTTTTTATAAATATATTTTTATATTTATAAAAATTATCTATTTTTTATATTTAGAGTTTATTTTAAAAGTCTCATCTCTTAATATATAATTATTATAAACACATGTAAATTATACATGTTACTAAACTAATTTAAATTTTTTTAATACTTTTTACAAAAAAATTATACCTCTCATAAAATTTATTATTTTTTATTTATCTTAATAAATAAAGTTAGTGCAAATTTAAATTAATAAAAATAAATATTGATAGTAAAATTATATTCATTAATATTAAATGAAAGCAAAATTATCATGTATAATATTTTTATAATTTTTTTTATTAAATTTAACTATTTTATTAGTCTATAAATTAAATGTGTCTTATAAAAAAATCATAAAAATATATGATTTATTTATTTATCTTTGAAAAAATCATTAATTTCAATTTTTATGAGTGAATCTAAATATTTCAAATTAATATTTTTTATAAAAAATATAAGTTAAAAAATTATAATAAAATTTTATTATATTTCAATTTTTATACTAATTTTTTTTTTGTCTTTTTGGTGCATATATTTTAAAGATATTTTCTCAGAGATAACTAAAAGTGTAAAATGGACACAATTTAACGGAGAGAAAAAAACGATGCTGGTTACTTTGAGAAATACTATTTATTATTTTTAGATTGAAGTTTGTGATTTTTTTAATATTTTAAAAAATAAAAAATTATTTATATTTTTTAAAATAAATTATTAACTTACTATTTATAATATAAAATTAATTGTCATAATTATTTCATATACAAAAGCATAAATTTTATTATTAATCAGCACCGAGTATTGTTTAATGAAACAAAACAGAGTTGAGACTGTTGGTGGGGAAACACACAAATCGCGATCACATTACAGTAAAAAAGAAAAGCAAAAATCAATAAAGAGAGTAAACAGACGTTCAACGCGCGATGCTGTCAGTCAATGTCAAAGTGTCAAATTCGGACAGAATTTCTTTCACAATTTTCACTTTTTAGTTGCAAAATTTTGGGTTTGTCACTTTTTTTCACTTTAATATTTTTATATTTTTAATTTTGCATAAGAAATGGCTTATTGATGATTATCTTTCCTCATTAGGCACAAAAAGAAAGACAAAGCAGCTTCTGTGGTGTTCTCTTACTATACAACGCAGCACAGCCTTCACTTGTGTCAGAGCTAAGACAATGTGTGAGTTTCAGGCACACACATACCCATTGTTCCATTCTCTTCCTCTGTCTTGAAACGATGGCTGCTTCACATTTTGGAAGAAAATTTCACTTCACTCCCTCTTCTTCCTCCTACCCTTTGCAGCAAAAGGTTTGAGGGTCTCTCTAATTTCCAATGCTTCTTCCATTGGTTCACTCTATATTTATGTTTTAAAGCTGAATTTTTTCTATGGATTTTCTTTTTCTCTTTGTTGCTTTGCTTGTGGTTTTGCAAGATCAGCTATTCCATTGCTTGTCAGCTCTTATCCTTGTGTAACTATGTTTCATTGGTATTGGTATCTGATCTATGTTCTATAATGTTTTTCTTCTCCTTTCCCATGCATTTTTACTTTTCTCTCACTACTTTCATGTCACAGAAGTTCAACTCAGATATCAGTTAGATCTTCATTTATGTTATTTATTTTCCAAGCTGTAAATTTTACTCATTTTCTCCTTTTTTTCTGTTTGGAAGTTGGAGTTTAACATGTATGAATCTATCTCTTGACTAATTAGAGTTTGGCTTCCTTTAAAAAAAATGGTTTTTTTTTTCCTTATTATTGTGGAATCTTGGATGGCTTAATGAGATTGATTATCAGTATTTGTTACATGAGTTGTCAGATTAGAGTGGATTTTAAAGTTAGTTCTTACTGGTTATTTTTATTTCAATTTCAATTAGTATATAACAAAGCAATCATTCGTTGTCATTTAGCCATTGGTGACAGCTGGATACTAATGCTTCAAATTCGCTGTACACCCTATGAAACTGCTAATGTTGAACTTTTTGCTTCTTGTCTGTATTTTTCAATGTCAATATTCCAGATGTGAATCCATATTCTTACTAGTTACTAAGCCCATAATTTTTTATTTTTTATTTTTTTTGGGTTGTTGTATGGGTATCTTTCTAGAAAGGGATGCGTGAGTCCAAATCTTATGGTTTTAGTTGAAGCATGGATGAGCCGGGAGAACCAATTGCTTCAGTTTGAAACGTGGTTGTTACTAATAATGGGTAATAGTGAAGTTTGTTATTGGATTAACCGGGGTTTACCCAACACAGAGTCAAGAGATAACAAGGTATAAGTGCTTACTATGAGTTAGACTAATTAAATAGTTGGTGGTGAGAAATGAATTTTGTACTAGTAATTTGGGCCTGAATAATGTCAAATGTCAAGTATTGTAGCTCTGCATATCCTGTGGATACTGGTCTGCCCATTAGAAATATTGCTCTAGCTGAATATACCATTATTATTATTATTATTATTAAAGAAAGCCATGCCAATGTTCTAACATCTTAATGACTGCCCATAGAAACCAAGAAAGATTTTGTGGAGGTTTTCAAAGATGAGTGAGAACTGCTATAGTGCTATGGTGTTTCTATGTGTAAAGAGGATCTCTACAGTTGATAACTCTTTTGAATTAATATTAAATGTGTTGGTTATATAACCGAATTTTGTGCTGTTCATAACAGAGGTTCATTAAATGTGTATGCATATAGAATAGCAAGACATGGCAGGTATATAAAACAGAACTTGTAAATTCAGGGACATTTGTTATTGTTAACCCACAAAATTCTATTTACTCTACTTTAAAATTGGCTAGAATGAATTCTGTTTTAGATATCCCTCAACTTAATAATAATTTATTGACCAAGATATTGAACTTTCTCACTTTGGGGATCTTGCCCATCAATATTGACCAGGCTCATACTAGTTGTAATACTTGATCCATACTTCATAGATCCTTTTTCATTCCCAATCAACTCAACTTAACATAAACTTTCGTATTGGTGTTATTAATCTCAATAATATCATTTGTTAAAAATGTGCACGAACCTAATTCTGAATAAGAAGATGATTCACCATCTTGTATAGAAGGAAAGCCTACAAGTTAATCAAGATGAACTTTTAGCTCCAATTTTCCCTTAGGTCCGAACAATATCTTTTTGCCACATATAGCACTTGAGGCCATAAAGGGAAGTCAATGAGAGAATAAACTTAATGTAGCAGAGATGAGAATTTTTTGTTGGATGAGTGAACATACTAGACCAGATAGGATTGAAAATGTATGAATCAGAGAGAAAATTGGGGTAGTACCTATTATAGAAAAAGTGATAAAATCTTCTCTTACAGGGTTTGGGAATGTGTGGAGAAGACCTACAGAAGCCATTCAGGAGAGAAAACTAGATGGTAGGTAGTTCTATTGCTATAGGTAGAGAGAAACTAAGTAAAACTATAGGTGAACAACCCTTAAGAAAGGCATTGTTTGACTTTTGTAGCCGACTCCACCTAGTGGGAAAAATGCTTGGTTGTTGTTGTTGTTGTCATGTCCTTTAAATCCTTTAATTTATGTTACTTGAAACCTTTTATAGTTATATCTCTATATATTTCATCTTTAAACAGAAACAGATATAAATGATATGGTTACCTGATCCTAGAATATATGACACCTGCCTAATACAAACAATTTCTATCCATTGTACTCTGTCTAAATGTTTGATAGGCATGTTAGATCTCATACACTGCAATTTCCTCCTTACATCATAGCTTAAAAGTGATATATGCTGAACAGCAGTACAAACCTTAAACTAGATAATCTAACAGAACTAAATATTTTCTTCACTTATGTCTAATACAAACATCAATATATCAAGATTCAAAATGAAGAAGAAATTATACTTTCTGTTAAATAAAAAGATGTTAGTGCTCTGATCTTTCCTGGTGTTTGATTAAATGATGATAAACATAGGAAAAAAGACCAATGATGCTACTGATGCATTTTCTATTAAGCATTTAGTCTGGATCTGGAAGGAAAATGAGTCTGGTCTGTCATCAGTTGATTTAAGAGAGTACTGAATTTCTTGCCTTCCAAAATTGAAACAAGCTATATGCGATAAATTAATAGCCATTCATAAACTTTCTAGAACACTTGTCATGAATGGCAGGCAATTAGTGTCCAGTTATGGAAGTATTATTGCAATAAATATGTGGTTTCTCTATGCATGTCATGTGGTTTCATATTCAGATACATAAGATTGGATATGTTGTTATCTGGAGAAGACCATGTGGCTGAAGAGATTCCTTTTCTTTAACAATTGATGTTTTCAAGAAAAAGAAAGTGTTGTCCATTATTTATTTATTTATTTTATTGTGATACATAATTGTCAGTTCAATACCTTGGTCCATGACAAAAAAAAATCTGTCTTGAGTAAAATAATGTGCCTTCAATATTGGTGTTTTGTTGATAACATGGAATATTTTGAAATAATTTATTTTGGTTTTAATGTATATGCAGGTAGGAAATAGATATTGAATGCTTACCGGGTTCACTCAAAATGAAATCAGGATTTAGAAGTGGCTGGCCCTCTGTTGTGCGTCTTCGTCTCAAAGACAAATCAGTCACCCCTTTTTGCATATTCTCTAAAGTGAAATCAGCTGGCAACTTACCTGGAAATGCACCTGTCTATCTCAATGTCTATGATTTGACAACAGTAAATGGCTATATGTATTGGGCTGGCCTTGGTATTTTCCACTCAGGTGTTGAAGGTCAGCTGACAGTTATAAACCTTTTCAAATATATCAAAAACAGTTTCTTCATTTTATAGTAAATTATGTTCCTAGAGTTTTGGTTGAGAGTTATTTCTATCTGTTCCACCTTTTCATGGAACTTTTTCATCCTATATTTCACAAAATTTGGTTTTTAATAGACTGTTTGATCATATGCTCATTTAATGCCGTAGATTAAGTACACTAGAGGTTATTTCTGTCTCCAAGATTTAGATTAGATGAATGTTTGATCGTATGCGTAGGCAAAGGTGTAAACTGATATATCTATGCATGTGCATAACCGCATATAACTTGTATCTGTGAACATTTAGTACTTCCTCTTTTGCTTTATTTGGAGAGAAAGTATAATTCTGGATTCCCTGAACATTTTCTAAACTGGCGTATCACGCTGACAGTTTATGGAGTAGAATATGCATTTGGAGCCCATGACTATCCAACAAGTGGTGTCTTTGAGGTTGAACCTCGGCAGTGTCCTGGCTTTAAGTTTAGGAAGTCAATATTCATGGGAACCACTAGCTTAGATCCTCTCCAGATTAGAGAGTTCATGGAGCGCCAGTCTGCAAATTACAACGGTGATACTTACCACTTGATAGTGAAGAATTGCAACCATTTTTGTGAGGACATTTGTTACAAGCTGACAGGGAATTCAATACCAAAATGGGTCAATCGTCTTGCAAGAATTGGTATATAACATCTTTTTAACTTCCAGACCAATCTTTCATGTTTAGATTGTATTACTTTTTGAGTTGATAAAGAAGATGGGATGTAATGAACAATTGGGACCTAAAAATGCTTTTAAATTCTGTTTCCACAGCTTGGTGGAAGCTTTGGTTAAATTATTTCATGCATTGTATCAACAGTGCTTCATGGCAAATGTAACATACGGCATTTTTGCTCCTCCTTTTTGGATGACATGGAGCTTCTGGCAACAATGCAATACCTGACATCTTTGCATACTCACATTTTAGGCCATGCTTGTTTTATTAAATGGAAATTTTGGAGTGAGAATTGCTTTGATTTAAAATGTCAGATGAGATGATTGAAAGTGAAATGCAAGTGCAATTCATCTGCACCCTACCCCACAAGATTTGGCCATGAGACTCTGCTAATGGTGATTTTTCACCCACTCTACCAAGCAACAATAATGAAAATCAAACCCTTCCATCCCATTTTACATTTCACTCTCATCTCTATTCTCCGTCTAATTGTAGAAGCATGGCATTACTGGGGTTGACATATAATAATTTGTCCTTAAACTATATTATCATCATATCACAATTATAATAAAGAATTTCATTGAAGAATAAAATTTCACCTTTTCAAGGAAATGATTATCTGGGTTGGAACTCTTTTTCGGAGTCAATGGCCTTTGCACACTCAAATTCCGTCATACTTCTCTGACTTCATTTCTTGTCCTCCTTGTAGGTTCCTTTTGCAACTGCATCCTCCCTGATGCCCTTAAAACTTCCACTGTTGAACATGATCCCAATTTTCAAGGGTGTGATAGTGAGAAAAGGAGGCTACGAACCGCTTTCAGTTGCTTGTCATCAATCTCAATGCCGCAGAAGGAAGTATCTCTGTCTTCATTATTTCTGCATTCCCACTATAAAGGCTGTCTACCACCATGGCAGTTGAAGAAATCTAAGAAGGGATCCTTAAAGCAAAAATGAGAAGACTACTTTACTTCACAGTAACTCTTCTCTGCTGTAGAGTTTCCATTGCCTTTCTGGTTCAGTCATTTATGTATGCTCTTCCTCAAGTGCAAAATTTTCTGTCCATATTTATTTTGGATATGCAAGCTCTGAGCTATGTTGGTTCTTTCTTTCCTTTTTGTTTTACCCCCTCTTTTATCATGTGTCTAGTTTTTGCTTGTAATCTGTCTTATTGTGAATCTATGTTAGATATATTGCTGTGTCAGCTCAATTTTTCATGGCTGGAGAAAAATCTGTCATTTGCTAAACTTCTCTCAAGACCATACCAGTTAGGAATTTCTGATATAAATTTGGAAAACACAAATTTGCAGGTTATTTATCTAAGCATCAATAGCCAGGATTTTCTTACTAATGATTCAGGTTGGGAGCATGTCAAATAAACACCAAAATGGTAAGATAATAGTATAATCGAGAAAAAAAATATCAAAAAGGTATTAAATGTTACTTGAATATTTTTTACAGTTTTATTAATTTCAGTTTTTAAGGATAGTTTTAAGTATTTAAAAATAATTTTTTATTAAAAATGGTATTTATTGTATTTTTATTTTTAAGATGATAAGTATTTTTTAAATAAAAGTTTATTACTTCTAGTTCTTTATCACTTTTTTTTTCTCAAATTATTTATCACTTTAAAATATTAAGAAAACATTAATTTTTTTTCAATAATGCCGTTATTATTGTAGATAATTTTTTCCAATTAATTACTATAATACTCTATTATTCTGGGAGTAGTTCTCTTTAGTATAATTGTACGGCACGCCTAAAAATTTCTCATACTTTTACAACTGAGTTTCGAAGTGTCACTGGTGAATGGTGATATCATGGTATGATGAATGAAGTCTTTATTGAACAATTATTAAGTAGGCCGTGCTTTTAAAATGTTGCAGGAATTATTCCTTCTCTGAATTAGATAGGTCTTAATTTACCAATAATTGCACTAGAATTTCTAAATTTCATAAAACTAAATTACTATATATTGAAAGACCGATTAATGCTTTGTTGTGAAGTGAGATAGGAAAGAACAAAATAAAAATTGGAATAGAAAGGAAATAGAGTAAAAATAATTTATTGTTTGGAGGAATAAAAATTGGAAGAAAAGAACTGAAAAATAGTAAAAAGAAATAAATGGATGATAAAAAATATATTTAATATTAGTTAAAAAGATAAAATTAACTTTAAGAATATAATTTTTTATTATATATTTTATCGTAATATAAAATTATTTATTATTTTTTAGTTATAAAATAATTTTTTAAACAAATAAAAAAAATTGCAACAGTTCATGGCTAAGATGCATTTAATGTAATATTTGCCATAAATAAAAAAAATTATCGCTTTTAGTCACTTAAAATAAGTTAAGTGGTGAGATTAATATTTTTTAATTAAATAGTAAGAGGTATAGATACAAGATTTGAACATGATCTGCACACAGACGAGAATGAATGGATTCATTTTTATTTCCTGAGTTATTTATCTGTGTTTAACGATTAATATTTTGTCTGTTTCAAACTTTCAATAATTTGAAATTAAGTAATTTTGCGTTTACATTAGCCACTAAAACCGGTGAATAAACTTGTTAGTTGCACATGTCATAAGTTCTAAACATATATGTAACCATTAATAATTAAATTGTGCATTGATAGTTTAATATATATATAACGACCGGATGATTTGAATCTGTTGATCAGAGAGAAATTTCATTTACTTATTTTTTTAGTGAAGAGGAATCAATGAACTCCTTCTTAGTCCAAACTCTAGAACCCAGCTCATTTGATTATTTGCGAATTTCATTTGGCTACTCGTGCCACGTTACAAGCTCAATAAAATTAAATAAACTAAAGCTATGAAGTTGTCGTAGTAATTCAAGAACCAGCATGGCAGTCAGTCAATGGCCATCTTCTTATCTACCAATGAACACAGCTCAGAATCGAAGTCAAATTCAACCTTGTTCACGTTACTATCGTCTCCATCTTTCTGTTTTTTCTGTTGCCATGTTCTATGGCCTTTAGTAGACCTTACATCACATTTGATTCATGAATTTAATGTAAAAAATTGCTACCGACACACTCTTCAATATATCTTTTGTGATTAGTCACGATTTAAGTAAGTTAATGCACTTATCTCGTCAAATGATAACTTTTTAAAAATTATTTTGAGATAGAAAGTATGTTAAAAATAGTATTGTACAAGCATCTCTCATTAAATATTATTCTTCCAATTTGTCTATATGTATCTTGTTTTGCAAGTAAGCCAAAGAAAAGCCTTCTTGTGTACACCGTTTACAAAACTTGTCTCGGATAGAACATTTGGCAGAAATATTATTCATAATCTCACACCCATTTGGATTTCGATGGGTAAAGGAGGAGGTTGCATACCAAGCAAGAAAAAGGCACCAATTTCTGCCCCAGAAAAGAATGATCCTGTTAGTACTGAGAGCCTAGTCATAGAAAATAGAGAAGCAACTTCAGGCCAAGAGAAGCTAGTCCAAGAAGTCAAAAAGCTGAGAGTTTTTATAGTGTTCTACTCAATGTATGGCCATGTGGAGTCGTTGGCAAGATCTTTGAAGAAAGGAGTTGATTCCATTGAAGGAGTAGAAGGGGTCTTGTATCGCGTGCCGGAGACACTGCCTGAGGAGGTCTTGCAACTGATGAAGGCACCCCAGAAGGATGATCAAGTACCATTGATATCTGCAGAGAAGTTGGTTGAGGCTGATGGGTTGTTGTTTGGGTTTCCAACAAGGTATGGGAGCATGGCATCACAGATGAAAGCTTTCTTTGATTCAACAGGACAGTTGTGGAGGGAGCAGAAGCTGGCAGGTGTGCCTGCTGGCTTTTTTGTCAGCACTGGCACTCAGGGCGGTGGCCAAGAAACCACCGCGTAAGTTGACCTTTTTACTAAATTCTAATTCAGATCAAAAGTATGTCTTAAATTTGGGCTAAAGGCTTGTAAGGTGAGAATTCTTCAACTTTTATAATTTCGACTTCAGATGATTTGTAGTCAACATGAGACTTTAGGTAAGTAGGTTGCACTGGGAGAGCCGTGGGGCCATTTTTTTTTTCAGTCAAGAGCAACCAATCATCACTTCTACCATAAGTTTTAATACAATTTTAAATTTGAGTAAAGGCCTAACTCAACCCCAAATGCTAGCTTATGCTGCAAGGATTGCTTTAGCCTTTATAAGTTAATACTTTAGCCATGTTTGTAGTCTTGACGTCGGACTTCACAATATGTTTTGTAATTGATATTTGATTTATGCTTTGTAGTGGAAATTTTATCTTCTTGAGAGAAATGTTATCTATCATGTCTTAAATTGGGTTCTGTAGTAGCTTTTGTATAAGTTGACACTTTTATTGGGGAGCCACAATGATGTGTATCAATCTATCATGTTTTATGATAAGTTATTTAGAATTAAGTATTTTCAATCAATGAATTTGCATTAACACTCATGTGAAAATGTACTTATTTCATAGGCAACTAAAGTAGTTCATCTAAAGAGGGAAAGTTAATATGAAATATACCACTTGTACTATTATTGATTTGCGCAAACTGACATTGCATCTTCAGCGCTGGTGGAAGGTCTTGAGTGGCATGAGTTGTTTGACCTTGGAGCTGGGATTGGTGAGAAGGGGGGGGGGGTGAAGGAATGTTATTCTGATTGTTCATGTATTATTAAAATGGTAAATGTCATGATTTTGTGACATAAACCTTAAACCAATTAACATGTCTTCTATAACAATTGCTGCAGTTGGACTGCAATCACACAGTTAGTCCACCATGGGATGCTTTATGTTCCTATTGGTTACAGCTTTGGTGCTGGAATGTTTGAGATGGAATTCATTAGAGGAGGATCTCCATATGGTGCTGGAGTTTTTGCTGGAGATGGCACAAGACAAGCAAGTGAAATGGAGCTGGCCCTTGCAGAGTATCAGGGCAAGTACATGGCCACAACAGTCAAGAAATTAGCCCATAAAAGCTAATTCCATGTGATTAATCTGAGTTAGGCCAGCATTCTAGTCTGTCCCAACTGATCAAATAGTATTTTTATTCAATTTCAATATAATGATGGATTTCATATGTTGTGTTTATGTGTCTAAGATGGGCAAGAGTTCTGTCCTCCTCCATGTTGGAAAAAAAATAAAAATACTGTACCCCTTTTATTTTGTAAAATTCATACTCTGATTCTATGTTATTTAATAAATTTTTCATTGAAATTTTTGAATGGAGACTAACAGAACACGAATATCTTCCCAGTATAAGTAGGAAAGAATTGATCCAGAGAAGTATGGAAGGTAGGATGGTAATCCATATGAAAACTAAAGGATGACATAACACTTTAGTAAAACTAAATGAGGGTTTAAGTGTATGTACAAATATGAAACTTCTTGGAAATAAAAGAAAAGGGCAGAATTAAGAAACGTTTGTCAACAATTAATGATTTCAAACATCCAAAATAAAAACAACAAATCTACGGCCAGAAAGGTATTATTGAAAATCAAACAAGTAGAAGAGTAACTCGACAAAGCTAAAAACTTCCAACGAAAATCATGTTCTAAATGTGGTCAACTTGTTCACTATACAAAAGAATGTCAAATGAAAAAGATAAATTAGACATCAATGAAAAGTTGAAAATTGTAGGCAATACCTATTTAACAGATGTAGATCATAATTCTGAATCAGAATAAGAATCTAATTATGGAGACTAAAAGAAGATAAAATATATCAGATGCAAGATGAAACATGTAACAAAGCAATGCACTCAAGAAAAACAGAAGGGGGATGTACAAGGACTTGTGAAAATTGTACACAAACTACCATCTAAATATAAATACCAGGTTTAATAGTAAATTTGATGATCTACAAATTAATACTCCTAAAAATATTCAAACAAACATAAAATATATTTCAAATAACAAAATAAAAGAAGATAAGGTTATGATTAACAAAAAGATATAAGTAAATAAAATAAAACTCAACATTTAAGACAAAAAGTAGTTAATTAGAAATATAAATGTATTACTATTATTAACACTCTTCCACGAAAATCTTGATCTCCTTTTTGGCTGACATGAAGCATCAGTCACTAACAAAATATCTGACATCACTTTCAGTACAGGCTCATTTTATAGACTCTTCATTTTATATTTACTTGGTTCACAAAAAATTGAGGCATCTACTAACGTGTAATCAGTCTATAGTATCATTCGACTCTTTGCCAATCCCGATAGTCACCTTCTGCTGCCAAAGTCTTTATTATCATTATGAAGTTGACATCATAATTCAAGATCCCGCATGCAAGTCAATGACCATGATCCAAATAATATATTATCTCACTGATTAAAACAGCTCATAGGTGAAATCAAACCCAAGCTTGTTCACCTTACTCACTTCATCATCTTTCCATTATTAATGTTCCCTTGTTCTATAGTATAGCAAAACTAAATATCTTAATTTCAGATACCGACCGTTGATTGTTACAATTTTCTGTTTCTTCTTCCAACTTGTCTCCATTGGTATCTTGTTTAGCTAGTAAGGCAAGTATTGCAAGATTGCATTATTTCTGTTCATTTTTCGGCAAGTGTAGTGGTCTTAATTTGGGATAAGATAAATTAATATTTGGTAGAATTAACACCCCATTTTAAATTTCAATGGAGAATGATAAACGGCACAAGCGTTCGACTCATAAAAGAAAGATCCCCTCACTGATGAAAGCATAATTCAAAAGTTTATACTACAAGTGCAAGCCAAGAGAGAAAATGTTGATAATTTTCATTGTTATACTCAATGTGTGGCTGGGGAGTCATTGACGAGATCTATGAAGAAAGGGGTTGATTCCTTGTATTGAAGCAGTTGAAGGCACCCCACAAAGATCACAGGGTACCATTGATATTTGCATAGAATATTGAGGCTGATGGGTTGTATTTTGGGTTTCCAACAAGAAATGGGAGCATAGTAGCACAGATGAAAGTGCCTTTGGATTCAAACGGTGAAACACACGTTCCTGTTTTTAAAAGAAAATGGTTGTAAAAAAGGGGGGAGCGCTCCCATTTGTTATTATTGCATCACTTAAATTTATCATTTTGATATTCTAAGAGAAATAAATCTTTATAACCCATTTAATTTTTTTCTTTTTGTATAGATAGTTTTGGATAAATTTTAAGATTTAGGAATAATGTTTTAAGGAGAAAAGGGTGTCATCAGTTATAAAAAAAACTTCTGTTTGAATTCTTAAAGTATGCTCATAACTCTAAGATATAAGAAATATTTGTTCTTAGCATGTTTTGTTTGTAGAGAAGGTATGTTTTTAAAATTCGAGTATAAATTTAGATCTGAATAATTTTTAAAAGTTTCGTTGGATGTTGATGATGTCTAGATTCATTGGTTACTAGCTCTCTTGTAGTTTTGGTAAATAATGATTACAATAACTTATTTTACAATTATTATTTGAATTATTTACCATGCATTATTGTTTAAAATTTTATTTACTTGAAAAAATAAGTCTTAAATTTATTTCTTGATCAAATGAAAGTTTATTATAATACATATTTTGCTCAATTACATGAATTTTATTCGTAAAATATGAAATGAGTAATTAAATTAATTTTATTAGATGATATTTAAGTATGATATTTGCCTTAAGACCTTTATCATTGAGAATAAATTTGGTTTATGCATGAGAATGATTTTCTATGACATAAATATGTTTTAGAGAAGTTATGTTAGAATTCCATAAACATGGAAATAGTAATTTATGTGCACCTAGTTATATTATGGGATGAGAGGGTTAAATGTTAGATGGAGCTACTAGTTCATAGAGAGGGCTATTAATGAGCTGAAACTATTCTATTGAGATGAATGATGACCTGATGTTGCAAGGAAAATACTACAACTACTCTTAAGAGAAAGGCCATCTCTTAGAAGGAAATGACTATAAATGAATTGGAGCTACCTTGGTCTTTGATGCTTTCATTAGTGACTATTATAGGACTATTTCTATGTTTCCCTTATGATATTTTAGAAAACTTATTGTGTGTGTGTGTATATATATATACTGTAGTTTTAAACTTTTAGTTTATGATCAAACTTTTAGAAAAGCAATTAGAATGAATGAATGTTTATAAATGACATGTTATAAGCAAGTTCCATGATTGTGAACTATTCATACATTATTTATTTCTCTTTCTTTTTCATTAAGTTTGTGTGACTCACCTCTGTTTATTTATTATTTTCATATAGTTAGCTCATCCAAGTAGAAAATTCATTAGTAGGCCTCCATTATTTGGTAGTCTTATTTCTTTTTTGCTTTTGTTTTATTTTAGACATTTTAATGCTATTATGTAGTTATATTTTATTTTAATTATGCAATAACTGTTTTAATTTTGATATTATAAGAATCTAGAATTCCCTTGGTTGTAGTTGAGTTATAGAAGTATTTTGACTAATTATCATATTTTGGGATAATAATATACAAAGAAAACTCTGTTGAGAATTTTTTTGCTAACTTTGTCATATTACTTGTTTAGAAAATTTTGTTGTTTTATGTAATGGTTTCTAAATAGGTTTGTCAGGTTAAATAGTATTTCTAGGTAACTTTGGTATCACAAATTAGGTTGTAGGTCTTAAATAGTTGCAAAAATAAAGTCATAATAGAATTGTGTTAGTAAATTGTGTATCAAGACATAATGTACTAACAAGAGTCTATCAACATCCAATTTTTGTCCAAAAGAAAAAAATGTTATTCACTTGTGCACTCCCTCAATTTACTTTGTTGGGCTTGTTTTGTCTTTAATAATTATTATACTTTTTAGGTGAAGATGCAACTAACTCCTAGAATGCGTATCGTCCTTGATTAATCTTATGCATAGGCTTAGAATCCTACTTCTAGTGGTCGTAGATAGGTATGAAGATAGGTTAAACTGTTTGATAATAAGTTTAATTTAAACTTTTTAACAAATGTAATTAATTGAATAAGTCAAATTTGATCTTAAAAAAAACCTTTTAGACTTGATAGAATAGTCTATTTAAGACTATAATAATATATTAAATAAATTTTATATAAAAATTATAATATAATATTATATTAAATAAATAAAATTTTAAAATGAATAAAATTTTAAAATAGAAACCATAATCTTTTTTGTTAAAGTTAGAGAGTATCCTTACTACATACTTGCTAGGAGAGAAAGTGTCGTTCGTTGGAGTTTTTTGTGTTATTGTTACTTAATCTATCTTGTACGCATAATGCTAATTTGTATGTGTTTGCTATACGTTTAGTGATTTACTTATTTATATCAAATATGTAGTTTAAAGTGATAAATAAAAATATATAATTTTATTACAAATTTCAATATGTTGAACCATTTTTTTTATGGTTTATTTAGGTATAAGCCTTATGATCTTTATATAGATATACCTACTTAAATGGTTAGATAGTCTATCTATAAAAAAGCTTAATGGCCTACATAATTCAATTACAAATATTTAAGATGTTAAACCAAATTTTTTATGGTTTATTTAGATATAAGATGATAAGTCTATAATTATACCTTATTTTATAACCCATATATTCATATTTAACCTTTACTTTATTTGGAGTTTACACTAATTTATATATTAATTATGCAGTTTGGTATAAAGATACCGCAAGTAGACTTTGGGTGCGTTTTAGGCCCAAATTGATGGAAGATTAGAGCTTCGCATTAGTCAGCACGTCCAGACCCTTTTAATAAGCACTGAAGTGCTTCAAGCCCATGCACGGTCATGCTTAAAGCCTTGCACGACTGTGCTCATCTGCGGGAAGCCCAATTATGAAGAATTTTTAGAATTTTCAAACCCTATTAAAAGGGAGACCTCAGGCATCGTAGTGGAGATCGGTTTTGACACCTTGGTTTTTGCTCTTTCACCTCATCTCTCTTCTTATAAGGGAATCTTTGGCATATTCTTGGCGAGACTTGGAGCTTTAAGTGATTGTACTTGAAGACTGATGACTCATCTCATTCTAGTTTACTTTTCTCTATGACTTTGTTTATGATTGTTTTAGTTCTTTTCTTTAGCATGAGTAACTAAGTCCATAGCTAGAGTTATGAGAACTATCGTTCATGAATTTACAGAATTTTGATGTTTGAATCTAAATTTGATTTTCGTTTTGTGATTAGATTTTATTCTATTGCGTTTTTCTCTTAATCTTAATTAATTATATGTCAGGCGACCTTACCTTGGTTAATTAATAGATCTATAGGATAAAACGAGATAAAGGATTAGGTGGATCAAACCAATATTTTTTTTCTAATCGTTATTAAATTAACAAGTTCATAGGTTTCTTAAGCTTTCTTAAATTGATGTCTCGCATGACCATTGAGGATGTTAATTTAGAGAAAAGAATATTAATATTACATGACCATTGGGTATTAATAGTATTTGTATAAATGATTAGTAATCACAAGGAAATCGAATTTAGAGTAAACAGAAAAACAACATAAAGGATTGAATGAGAAAATATATATGCCCTAGGTTCCTCTCCAATAAGTTTAAACCAAGAAGTGCATTGTATTTCTTACTCTTAGTTTTATAGTTGATTTTATAAATTCTTGTTTTAATTAATCTCATATCTTTGAAGTTTAAACAATTGAATTAGAAAATTCTTAATAATTGGAAATCAATCCTTGTGGAACGATATTTCAGGAACTTAATTTAAGAACCCTTTATTACTTCTCGATGGGTACACTTGCCCTCCGATCAAGTTTTTGGCACCGTTGCTGGGGATTATTTTTTCAATATTAAGAAAATCTCAAATTTAATTGATTTGAGCAATTTATATTTTGCTTTATTTTAATTCTATTTTGTTTGTTGTTAAATTTTTTTATTTTTATAATTTTTATTTTTTATTTTATTTTATTTATTTTATAATTTCTTTTAATGTATGCTTACGCATTCTAAGTGCTTTACAACTTGTTTATTTGATCTGAAGATTGAAAGAACAGTCTGTAGACAAAGGAAAGAATTAAGAGAGCAGAGAATGGCAGAGAAAAAAAAGATCAATTCAAGATTACATGACACTTACTGTCAGAGGCACCTCTGGAAGCATCGCAACCCCTAATGTGGAGGCCAACAACTTTGAACTTAAACCAACACTCATAACCATGGTCCAGAACTCCATACAGATTATGGGCATGCTTAACGAAGACCCTAATCTTCATCTGACAAAGTTCTTCTGATTGACGGACACCATCAAGTACAATGGAATCTCCAACGATACTATTTGACTTTGCCTTTTCCCCTTCTCAGTATCTAAAAAGGTGAATGCATGGTTTTCCTCACTTCCAGCCAATTCCATCACAACTTGAGAGGATCTCACTCAACAATTCTTGGGAAAGTACTTTCCCCCATCAAGGTCCTCTAAGCTTATGATAGAGATATATTGCTTCTAACAATATGAGACATAATTGCTTTTCGAGGTGTGGGAGCGATTCAAGGAACTATTGAGAAGATGCCTGCATCATGATTTTCTGACATGGGGACAAGTATAGATCTTTTACAGTTGCCTTTCAATCACTACCAAGTCTACAATGGATGCCGCAGCAGGAGGATCCCTCATAAGAAAAGATCTAGAGGATGCATACAAGCTAATAGATGAGATCTTCTAGCTTTCAGTGACACATTAGTGACTCTTACGACATCAAGAGGAAAGAGACCAACCCAGTCTACCAAGTAGAAAGCAGCAACCCACTAATGAACCAAATGGTAGCCCTTACAAAGTAACTAGAATCTTTAATGAAAGCTCAAGACCAACCTGTAAGAGCTCTTGCAAGTCCAGAATTTAAGCAAGAAGAGACAAATTTTATGGGCAATCACAATTTGGAATTCAAGTGTTGATTACTTTTCCTATATGCAAAATCAAGGGCCAAGACCAGAAGAGAAAGAAGCCCCTAGATCTCAGTCCAACTTTCAAGAACAAATGATGCAATATGTGCATTACTCTGATAAGAGGATAACAGAGCTTGAATCCAAATTGGACCAATATATTGAGAGAACTGATAAGAAGTTCGCAGAGGTCAAATCTGAAATACAAGCCAACTCTTTTAAGATGAGTACACAATTAGAGCAAATTACGAACCTTCTGAGTGAAAAAGTAATGAGAACATTACCATCTCAGCCTGAACCTAATCCAAGAGAGCAATGCAATGCCATCACCCTTAGAAGTGGAAAGAAATTACAAAAATTGTAGAACAGAAGCACATGCACGCCCATTCTTGCTAAGAAGCACACCCATACTGATTCTACATGCACACTATGCTTACTGATGAGCACGCCCCTACTGAATTTGAAGCATGACCGTGCTTCTACAAGCACGTCCATGACAATAACAAAAGCATAGTCGTGCATCACCATGAGCAAGGTCGTGCTTTAATCAAAGAGCTTGAAAAAGAAAAGAAGAAAAAGACCCTTGTTCAACCAAGGTCCTATGAGCCTAAGATACCTTTCCCACAGCGACTGCAAGGTCAACCTCCTTATGATGAAGAGTTTCACAAGTTATTAGACCTATTGGGCAAAGTGCACATCAATATGCCTTTTATTGATGTTATCTCGAAAATGCCTAAATATACTAAATTTTTAAAGGAGATTTTGACTAATAAGAGAAAGCTAAGAGCACATGAGACTATGAAGCTCACCCAGGAGTGCTCATCTATAGTCCTTAAAAAGTTTCCACCTAAGCTTAAGGACCCAGGGAGTTTTACTATTCTTTGTACAATTGAAAAAACTCATATTGATAAGGCTTTATGTGAATTAGGAACAAGTATTAATCTTATGTCTTATTCTATTTTCAGGAAGCTTAGAATGCATAAACCTAAGTCAACCTCCATGTCACTTCAGCTGACAGATAGGTTAATCACATGCCCCAAAGGCATAATGGAGAATGTACTTATAAAAGTTGGAGAATTTATATTTCTTGTTGACTTTGTGGCACTTAACATAGAGGAAGATGATGATGTCCCCATCATACTAGGGAGACCGTTCTTTGCCACTGCAACGGTCATCATAGACGTATAAGAAGGGAAGCTCACACTGAGGCTAGATAATGAGGAAGTTGTATTTCAAGTTTTCAATTCTTTCAAGTACCCTTCTAGCCAAAAGTCTTGTCACTTTATGAGCACTGTGGATGTTGCTTTTTGACCCAATATGGCCCAATATCAAGAAATATCCCTAACTATATGGTTCAATATCTAGAAACATCCCTAATCATATGGCCCAATATCTAGAAATATCTCTAATTTAGAAATATCCTTATTCTAGACTTATCCATTCTCTAGAAACATTTCTAATCTAGAATTATCTTATTTAAAATACTATAAAATACTCTATGTTCTAGAACCATCCTTGTAATACTATAAATACCTCATTGTACTCCTCATTTTGGCATCAAGTTGAAGAATAGAAGCAAATTCTCATTCTCTACTAAGAGTTTCAAGCTCTAGTTCTCTCTTGTCCTATTTGAGAGTTCTAAGCATTTCTTGGTCACTTTCCCTTACTGGTTTCTGAGCCATTTGGTATCAAGAGTCAAGTTCCCAGCTTCCTACGCTCTTGGTCGTTTAGAATTGACCTAAATTCTCCTTGCTTCTTTCCTTACTGAAGTTAGTTTCGGTCACTCTTAAGCATTTTGAGTCATTTCTTAACAAGCCAACACCGTAGACGCGCTCGGGAGAGGTTGAAGACAGTGACATCATCAGTCGTGTGAGCACCATGCATTCAACAGTGTTGCGCCGCATATTGTCCCCAACCTTTTCATAATTTTATTCACACCCATACAACAAAATGCCACCAAGATGCCAAAACTGAAGGAATGCTCAAGAGATCGAGATGGACGAGTTACGCCGACAAACTCAAGAACTACAAGAAATTGTGGAGGAATAACAAGCTCTACTCAATCGTCGAAGGAACTCCAATTCAGAAAATGATTCTGAAGAAAGTGACTCTTCGTCTAACACCAGTCACCCACGAAGAAAGAGTACTCGAGGCTACTTCGACAGCATCAAGATAGACATTCCTGAATTTGAGGGGAGACTACAGCCAGATGAATTTGTGGATTGGCTATAGACAGTGGAGCGTGTGTTCGAATTAAAAGAAATTTCGGATGAACAAAAGGTCAAGATCGTCGCTGTTAAACTGAAGAAGCATGCATCCATTTGGTGGGAAAATATAAAGAAGAAACGTGAGCGGGAAGGCCGAAGCAAGATAAAGACATGGGAGAAAATGAAAAAAGAACTAACTCGTAAGTTTCTTCCTGACCACTACTATCAAGATAATTTTATTAAGCTCCATAATTTACGCCAGGATTCTAAGATAGTAGAGGAGTATACTAGAGAATTTGAATTGTTGATGATAAAATGCGATATACAAGAGAAGGAAGAACAAACAATTGCTAGATTTCTTGGAGGGCTAAATCCTGAAATTTCCCAACTTGTCCAACTACAACAGTATTGGACCCTAGATGATGTCATCAAGTTAGTCATTCGAGTCGAAAAGCAACTCCCTAAAAGATCAATTTTCCAACCATCATCCTCACGAAGCCCTTTTACCTCTCGCAAAGCTCAACCATCGCAACCTACAGCTCCAAACAAAACCCTTTCCAACCCTGTTAAAGACACTAGCCCAAACAACCAACCCAATCCAAATCGTCTAAATGCTTCAAATGCCAGGGTTATGGGCACATTGCTTGCAACTGTCCCAATCGAAGAGTTGTCACTATCATTGAAGGAGAGGCCTACGAAGCATCTGAAGAAGAACTTGAATTGTACCAAAATGAATTCAACAGTCTTCCAGTATTTGATGAAGAGTTGACCCCAGCAGATCATGGAGAAGCCTTAGTGGTTAGACGCAGTCTTCACATAGCAGCCGTTAGAGAAGAACCATGGATGAGACACAATATATTCCACACTCGATGCAGTACTCAAGGTAAAATTTGTGATGTCATCATCGATAGTGGAAGTTGTGAAAACGTTGTGTCTAGCTACATGGTGGAGAAATTAAAGCTCCCTACTGATGATCATCCACATCCCTACAAACTACAATGGCTGAATAAGGGTAATGAAGTCAAGGTTAGTAAACGTTGCCTAGTTGCTTTCTCAATCAGGAAAAAATATCAAGATGAAGTTTGGTGTGACGTCCTTCCTATGGATGTCTGTCACCTCTTATTGGGACGTCCATGGCAATACGATCGGAAGATTGTGTATGATGGGTTTAAGAATACCTACTCATTTGTCAAAGATGGAGTAAGAATCAAGTTGACTCCATTGGGTCCAGAAGAAGTTAACCCGACCTCACGCAAAGTCAAACCACTCGTATCCCTAATCTCTAAACCACAGCTTAAGATGACGCGAGAAGAATCTCAATCAACAAGCTTATTACTCATGGTCGAACAAAACATTGGAACACCTATTCCACAAGAAATAAAAAAGCTCCTTGCAGAATACCCAGATGTGGTACCTGAAGAAATTCCTCCTAGTTTACCATCTATAAGGGACATCCAGCATGCCATCGACTTCATCTCAGGAGCTGTTATCCCAAACAAACTTGCTTATAGGATGAGTCCACATGAACATGCTGAAGTACAATGTCAAGTGGAGGATCTTCTCAAAAAAGGATTGATACAGGAGAGTGTCAGTCCATGTTCAGTCCCTGTCATATTAGTGCCCAAGAAAGATGGAAGTTGGAGAATGTGCATGGATAGTCGAGCCGTGAATAAGATTACCATAAAGTATCGATTCCCGATTCCATGACTCGATGATATGCTAGACCAACTACATGGAGCAGTCATATTCTCGAAGATTGACCTTCGCAGTGGCTATAATCAGATTAGACTACGTCCTGGTGATGAGTGGAAGACCGCTTTCAAGACAAGAGATGGGCTATATGAGTAGACTGTCATGCCGTTTGGCTTATCCAATGCGCCTGATGAATCAGGTACTACGCACTTTTATTGGAAAGTTTGTAGTTGTTTATTTTGACGATATTTTAATCTATAGCAAAAGTAAGGGAGAACATCTAAACCATATTCGCCAAGTGTTGGACGTTCTTCGGGAGCAAAAGTTGTATGCCAACCTAAAAAAGTGCACCTTCTTGACCAATGAAGTAAATTTTCTGGGCTACATCATTACGAGTGAATGTGTCAAGGTTGATCCTAGCAAGGTTGAAGCAATCATCAACTGGCCTACCCCTAACTCTGTGCAAGAAGTACGGAGCTTTCATGGATTAGCCTCGTTCTATCGAAGATTCATAAAGAATTTTAGCTCTATTGCTGCCCCGCTTACAGATTGTATTATAAGAGATAAATTTCAATGGTCAGAACGCACTCAAAATAGTTTTGATGAGTTGAAGAGACGACTAACTGAAGCTCCAGTTTTAGCACTTCCTAACTTTGATCAGGTGTTCGAATTAAGCTGTGATGCTTCGAATAGCTGGATTGGCACTATTCTCAGTCAAGAAGGAAAGCCTATAGCTTTCTTTAGC